GGTCATCGAAGTGCTTCTAGGGAAGAAGAACAACAAGAAGAGGAACACTGTCATAGTTGGAGACTCTGTGTCTTTAACAGAAGGTGTAGTTGCAAAACTCATGGGCAGAATTGAGAGAGGAGAAGTTCCAGATGATTTGAAGCAAACTCATTTTATAAAGTTTCAGTTTTCGCAAGTTGGGTTGAATTTCATGAAGAAGGAGGATATAGAGGGACAAGTTAGGGAGTTGAAGAGAAAAATTGATTCTTTCACATCTTGGGGTGGTAAAGGTGTGATTGTTTGTCTTGGAGATCTGAATTGGGCAGTCTGGGGCGGCGGTAACTGTGCATCGTCATCGATTTACAGCGCAGCGGATCATCTAGTGGAGGAGATAGGGAGATTGGTTTATGATTATAGCAAATCAGGAACCAAAGTTTGGCTCTTGGGGACAGCTTCTTACCAAACATACATGAGATGTCAAATGAAGCAACCTCCACTAGATGTTCAATGGGCTCTTCAAGCTGTTTCAATTCCTTCAGGAGGACTTTCACTAACCCTCCATGGTTCCAGGTTCCTCTCTTCTTCTTCTTATATATTTTTTTTCAGATTATTGATAACCAACTTAAGTACTCCCGATACTAAAATACTTTATTTTTCAGTGGTCACAGTTCCGATATGGCTTCTCAAGTGATGGAGATGAAGCCATTTAGAGTTAAGGAAGAAGAAGATGGAGCAGAAGAAGAAGAGGAAGAAGATAAACTCAATTTTTGTGGAGAATGTGCTTTTAACTATGAGAAAGAAGCAAAAGCTTTTATATCAGCTCAACACAAAATCTTACCGCCTTGGCTGCAACCTCATGGAGATACCAACAACATTAATAAAAAGGTACAGATTTTTTTTATGAATAATGAGTTATCTTTGTTTTGTTATATGCATTTCTACTGTTACTTGAACCAATTTTTTTTTTTTTTTTTTTGTGTGTTCAAGTTTCAGGATGAATTGAGTGGACTGAGGAAGAAATGGAACCGGTTTTGTCAAGCTCTTCACTACAAGAAACCCGGTACAACTGCTCAAAGCTACGGCTGGAGAGCGGAACAGAGCAGCTCTGTTTTACCGGATTCCGCAGCTGCGATTCCTTTTGTGGACTCGTCAGGTCTGAAGCAAAACTCACGTGCATCTAGCTCGGTGGCTAAATTCAGAAGAAAGAACTCATGTACTATTGAGTTTAGTTTCGGAAGTAATCATCAAGAAAATTCAAAGAAGAATCAAACCGATGAATTGAGTTTGGATGGATTCAAGATTGACAGTGATGAAGGTGTGGAAACCAAGATTACTCTTGCACTTGGTCATTCTCCATTTCCCTCTGATGTAGAGAACTCAGATGAAGAAGAACCAGAGGAAGCGATTACGATGAATAAATTATCGGAAAATCTTCACGAGAACATTCCATGGCAAAGGGAAGTTCTTCCTTCAGTTGTTGAAGCCATGGAGGAGGCTCTCAAGAGGAGTAAGAGGAGAGATGCTTGGATGCTGGTTTCAGGGAACGATGTGACAGCAAAGAGAAGATTGGCTCTCACAATCACAACTTCTCTTTTCGGGTCACTTGATCATATGTTGAAGATTGATTTGAGATCTACCAAGGCAGCTGAAGCGTGTGAGGAGCTCGAGAAGACGTTGAGGGAGCGGGAAAAGGTTGTTGTTTTGATACAACGAGTTGATTTAGCCGATGCCCGGTTCATGAAACTACTAATAGATCGATTCGAGGCTGGAAAGTCTGGAGATTCAGAGGATTTTCAAGGAAAAAAGAGCCAAATGATCTTCCTTTTGACGAGAGAAGACGATGAAAGTGAAGAGAACGAACGTTTTGTCATACCAATGGTGTTGAAGTGTAAGAGATCGAGTTCTGGTTTGCTCAACCACAAGAGGAAACAAGAATTTGATGCTTCACCAACAATGGTTAAAATGAAGAATCCGAGAATCCAAGAAGAGGAAGACAAGGACAATATCGCTTGCGACATAAGCAACATAAAAAAAGAGTTCTCAAGACAGTTGAGTTTCGGATCAAATGCTCTTGACCTCAACTTAAGAGTTGATGCCGAAGAAGAACAAGAAGAAGAAGAAGTAACTGTAGCTAAACCGGGCACTCAAATCTCAAGCGGATTTGAAGAACGTTTTCTAGATTCGATCAAGAACTGGTTTGATTTCACAGTTTTGTCGAACGAAGATATAACCGGTTTTTTTGTGACGAAGATCAAAGATTCGTGTGAGGAGATCCTCGGGAAACGGGAAGAGAGATTTGGGTTTACCGTCGATGCGGGATTGATCGAGAAGTTTTACAGAGAATGTGGGTTTTTGGCTAACGGTTTGTTTGAAGAGTGGGTGAAAAAAGTTTTTCAAACGGGTTTAGTAACGGTCAAAGACGGCGGGAAAGAGGGCATAAGTGTAATTAACCTATGTTTGGGGGGTATAGAAATGATTGACCATAGGGAGGTATACGAGGAGGAAGGATTCATGGGTACTTGTCTACCTAATAGAATCCAAGTTTCCTTTGTTGATTAACTTTGGCTTTAATGCGGTTTTTATTAATTTCTACTAAAATCATATATATATATATTACCTATTTACTTTGCTGTTATTTATTTCTTTATATTGCTTTCTAAGAAAAGAAGAAAATAAATTAATTATGACCCAAGAAAAGTGGAACTTGACCGCATTGTTCTTTGTGTAAACATAAGTTGCCTCACTTCATCATAGAATGTGCCTTTTTTATTGCTTTTTTTTAATAGTGTTATCTTTTTCATTCCATTGTCTTTTGTATAGATTTAATAATTTTTGCCATAGCTTAAATTATTTTTATTGATTTTTATATAAAGTCGTATGAATCTTCAATCTATGGTACATCGTTTGATGTACTAGATCTGAGCACTCATATTCTTTTCTTCTTTGAGATTATCTTCTTCTATTAGAACTTTGAATCAAAAATTAGAAAGCATATATTTAAATAGCGGATCTTTAATCCCCAGAAAGGCAAAAACCAGTTCAGCCATCATGTATATGCAATTGGTTAATTACATTAGCCTGAACAATTATTCACATATTAATCAATTTGGTCTTGCAAAATTAAATGATGTTACTTCAGTGATCTTGTCATAATCGAGAGGTTATTATATATCAATTTTTGTATTGGTTATAAGAGATTTCACATAATAACTGTAACTATAAAATTATAGGATTTTCGTCTGATTTTTGGTCTATAATCTTTGCTATATATTAAATACTGCAAAAATAGTATACGACACGTCAAATAATTCCTTTTTAAATAGAGTAGGCATCTAAAGAGACTTGAAAGGAATAATCCATAGTTGAGATCAAGTTTCATGTGAACTAAATATATTATTTGGCATATTGTAGTGGAAAGGTCATTATGCCAAAGAGTGGCTCAAGACAGTGTTGGCTTAATGCCCAGTATATATAAACCTTTGGAAGCTGCTCAATGTAATTATGACACTAAGACACATTTGCATTGCATGCCCATGTAATCCCCCATTACTAATCAATAATTAATTATTAAATATGATAATGAACAATATAATGTGCCTAGCTACAAAATCATTATCATTTATGTATATGTTAGGCAACCATTTGCCGTAATAATGATTAGCATTTCAATATAATTCAAAGAATTCTAGTTTTATCTATGTATATTGAGCTAACTTACTCTTTAGTTCATAGGTCTTATAGATCTGTCATGCGTTGCACTATATAACAACTTCAGATATTAGAAGTCGTACGTCCCTTTACATCTATCTATAGTTAATAAGACTAGTGTTTTAGACTTGTAGTGTAGATAAATAAAAAGACTAGTGTTGTAGTATCAGCATGTGAAGTGTTGGAACTTTTTAGTGAATTCAGTGATAGACTGACAAACTATGAATTAATATCTGCATATTGTAGTAGACAAATTATAAAAATGGTAATATATTAAATGCATAAATATATCAACTTGCTGCCAAAATAAAATATTGATATGTTATGCAACAGAACAATCATGTATTAATTTTCAATAAATGAAACGGTTTGATGTAAAAAAAAAAAAAAAGAAATCTCGTCTAGAACTTGGAGATATATGAACTTTGGCCTAAAATTTCTTAATCATAAAAACATGTGGTGGCTATCTGATGTAATGGTTCATACAACGAAATATTTACATCAAGATTTGGTTTGTAAATTTATTTATATAAATTTCTTAATAATCAATTTTCTACATAAGTTACAAAAAGTATAATGGTAATTCTTCAAGGGGCTGGGAGAGTGATCACAGAGCCGTAATAAGGAAAACCATGTATGGGAAACCAGGACACATGTGTCTTGAAGTTGCAGCAGTGAGAACTGAAGAAGAAGAGTAAATAAGAGAAATTGCCAAAATTTTCTAAAATTTCCGGTCAAAATAGTTGGTTATCAATAAAGCTATTTACTACTTTTGATCATGTTACATTTATGCACGATATAATGTTGTGTTTGGCTTGTGTTCATCAGTTTGTCTTAAAACTCTTAGGATTAGAACGAGTCGGGTCTATTATTAGTACCGTCACTAAGAGATTTCTGTTTGCAATGCATGTAACGTGTATCTTAAAATGTAGAGTCTGACTTGTTTACATCTCTAGTTAAATTCCAAACCACTTGTGAGTAAAACATAACGTACAATATACATACACGTTGAAATTTGTACTTATGTCGACTTAAGTTTTGGGTCCTAGCTCTTAATTTTGTTTTTGTATTTAACTATTTATGCTCGAAATTACATGGTTAATGTTTCGCCAAAGCTGTCAAGTACTATAGTAATCAACAGATTGTTCTACACCTTAAGAAATTGATTTCCAAGACTCGGAGATTTTTTTAATTAATATAAGAATGAAAAATATATATATATATATATATATATGTATTGTTGAAAAATATATATATTTATCCATTATGGCTTCGTGATCACCAGCACACACCTCCTAATAAAAAGAAAGCTACTAATCTTCCATATCTGAACCACTTTCTTCGGCATCACTTCCTTCAGGAAGAAAACTTTCTTCGGTATCACTTCCTTCAGGAAGAAAAAATTCAGGAAGGAAACTTTCTTCACTTATTTCGGCATCACTTCCATCGGAATCACATTCTTTGGCATCACATTCTTTGGCATCACATACTTCGGCATCACCTTCTTCGTCATCACTTTCTTCGGAACCACTTTCTTCTTCGGAACCACATTGTTTGGCACTATTGAGAATGCTCCAACACTTAACCTCGAGGCGCATGTGTCCTGGTTTCCCATCCATTGCTTTCCGTACAACCGCTCTGTAATTAACCAAGCCATCTGTTTCTGGATCATCTGCACACTGAAAACTTATGTAGAAGATTGCATTAGGCGCCTTGAGCTTATCACGAGTCTCTGTCTCAGCTTCTTCTCCTCGAGTTTCCACAACCACTTCTTGAGGATCCAATTCTACGCATTCCGCAATGTCTTTGGGATCAAGCAATCCTCTCCATTTGGTGTAGAAGGCAAACTCAGTGAAGAGATGCAGCCACCCATTGTTGACCACGTCCCGCAACTCCGATTCTTGCAACTGTCATTGAACAAAACCGAGACATGAAGCTATATATATACGTGTGTATCGTAACTTAACTAGTAGAAGATGCATGCAAGATCAAGACATTTACCACATAGCGTTGTTGCTGATCGTCGTCATCAGAAAACCATTCAGGCATTTCGCCTTTGTACCGCTCATCTACTTCCTCACTCCACTCATGATCAGTCTCTTCTTCTTCTTCTTCACCATCTTTTATTTCAACCAAACAAAAAAAAGAAAAACATTTAAAGGTCATAAGGCAGTCCTTTTTTACCACAACCTTAAAACTGCTCTCTTTTACCTTTAACGACGCAAAAGAAGGTCTCCCACCATAAACACACATCGTCTTTAACATCGTCTTTATCATCATCATGCTTAACGCAAGTACGAAAAGTGAGTGGAGAATTATCGGCCGGATTCATTGCCTCCAGTGTTATGAACGAAGTGCAGAGCTCAGGATCGGCCATATCAAGATGATCTGTATATGAACGCCTCACAGACTTAAACTGGTAGTGCGTGGCCTAACAAGATCAGAAAGTAAGACAGGGAAGCTTAACTAACCAAACCAGAAGCGTGATAAGAGCTGAGGAAGAGTTAGGTCTAAAAAAGAGGGTTCATTATAAACAAGATAGAACCAAAAAGAAGGGAAAAAAGACCTTGTGAGAATTGTAACAATGAAGTCCAAGTCTAGCGCAGAGGTTGATGTCATAAAAACTGCGCCAGTCATAAACCTACAAAGGCAATTTTCCGATTATAATAATGCATCAATAATGTTTGACAGAAAACACAAGAAAGCAAATTGTGAAGTGTAGAAAAGAGGAATTCAAAGGAAGAAAGACATATCCGACCATAATAATCTGAAACAATAGAGATACAGGGAGACAAAGATATTTACACTTACTTGGGAGTCTGAATCGTGTCCGGTATCATCATTATCATCATCCGAATCAGGGTACTTTCCCGCTCGCACCTACATCAAACCAAAAAAAAAAAAATGATCAAAATTATACACAGAGATTTATGAAGAAAAATCGAAAAGGAAAACATATATATGTTTCACACCTCATCACAGAATCGGGCATAGTCGTCGTCAGTTTCCTCGTCCACGAACCCCTTCATATTATCCCCAAAATTTATTATTAGTTCGTCAAAACCCTAACCCTAATCTCAGATGGCATGAGAAAGAGAAGTCGATCGACAGCTTAAAGTAGGGATGTCAATTAAAGCCCGAAGCTTGGTCCGGCCTGGCCCAACCTTTTATAATTTATACTAACTATGTTGAGAGAGAGAGATCATCGATCGAATCCACTTACTATAACTTGTTCCCCACTCATCTTCTTCTCGCTCTCACTCTTTGGTCAATCCCTCCTCCTTTTCTATCCGATATATATCTACCTTCAGGTATGGCGGAAAACACGAGGATAGCATCAATACGAGATCGAATTGAACAGAGAAGGGCAATGCGAAGGGGTATTATTCCACCACTACCGCGACTTTACCCCGTGAAACGTTCCCGACGGGCCTACGTAATATTTAATATTGTTTTTTGTATTTGATTTTTTGATGATTCCATCTATGGTCGTTATATAGTTTGGATTTTCCAACCTGATTCTCTTTGGGAATTTTTGTTAGGGTTTTGATCGGGATCCCTCAACGTATACACCAGTTAAGTCTACTTGGGGACATGCTTATAGTATCGCTCTTAATGCTAGGCTTGGACTCTACTGCTACAATTTTCAACAAGTAAGTATTCTCTCTATGTCTTTCTTTTTGCCATAAAAAAGAAAAAAAGAAAAAAAAAAATGTATGCATGAGAGAGTTTGTTTTGCTGTGATCACCTTTCCTTTTGATTTTGTTTGTTTTGCCCTTTTTGACAGGGAACAAACTTTATGTTTAACCGCTGGGAAAAGTATTCTACTATGATGACTTCATTCTTCTGCTTCTACATCACTTTTTGACGCAACGGACCCTGCTCCGGCTTGGACTTGTCTTTTCAGACCATGTTGTGCGATAGTGGACTTATTCTTTCACTGGGTGTCAGACTCTCGTGGATGACCCTTGGCTCCAGGATCCAAAGTACGTATTATTCGTGGGTCTGTCTCGTCTTTACTTTATTATCTTTAGCGCTCTCTCTTTGTAGAGATCAGTCACTAGATTGGACTAACTGTTTATAGAGACCGCTTTTTTTAAAGGTGAAGAGGCTGTAGATGATAACTGGGACTTCGATGCAGTTGACACCTTCTACACAGGTCCAATGCCCGAATGGCTTTCCGATGAGGCCTTTGCACGTGACCCTAAAAAGTATTACGTGGTAAGATCATTCATATATGGCCACAGTTGAGTTTGCTTGATAAGGAAGGCAAGTTGTGTCAAAATGTAGTAAATAAGGTTGGGTAAATGTATTTTTTGTGTATCATTCGCAGGTGCAAGAGTCAGAGCTGCATGATAATGACTGGCTTCAACTATTGATGGAAATCGCTTTCTTCTCTAGAGAAAATCGTGTAAGTCCCTTGAATTTGCAATTGTTGTTCTCTGCCAAAAAAAATTTGTTGTGCCTTTCCCCTTTTTTGTTTTTGTTTATTTTTAAAAAAAATTGTTGTCACAAATGTAATTGCAGCTATCGAAAGCTTCCACACCCTTGGAGATCAAGAAGGTAGTTGTGGAAACTAAAGAAGAATACACAAGAGAGCCGCGTGAGGTTCTCAAGGCAGAGAATGCAATCTACTACATAAGTTACAAGTGTAATACTGATCCTTCAACAGGTTGTGCTGCTGATCACGAAGCCATAATAAGGAAAACCATGGATGGTAAACCAGGCACATGCGTCTTGAAGTTGCTCTTACTAAAGAACAACAACAAGAACAACAACTCTTACTAAAGAACGACAACAAGTAGAAAAATAGACAGACATATGGGATCTGGTCTGTTATAATTATCAGTAGCTATATATGTTTTTAAAACCTTTTGTTCTCATGTTGTTTTATTTATCTATCATCTATGCACGATCTTGTTTTTATTTCTTTAGCTCTTTGGACTAGATCGAGTGGGATCTATGTTTTACCTTTATGAGGGATTTCTGTTTGCAATGCATAATTAGTATTGAGAACCAAATAAACACTAGTTGTCTTTCCAACCCAACCCACGGAAGTGAGTTGTTAGTTTTTCAAATTCCTTTATCGGAAAATCGATTGTGTCTTCACTTGTACAAATATTTCTTGTCTGAGTTTTAAAACTCAGTCGTGTCACATTGCAAATCGTATCACTCACAATTTGTTAACCAAATTGAATGGTGGTGACTCCAATATGTTAGACTTTGCCTTCTCTAATCATACATATCATAAGCGAAGTAAAAATTTCGTTTAAAGCTCTCTCATTAAATTTCAGAGTATTTGTGATTTTTTTTAATTTTTATTAACTATCATATATTATTTTATATATTAACCAGTTTTGATGTATTTTTCTTTTTCTTTTATTAGTTTGGGCTGAGTCGAGCTTTTTTTTGTTTATTCCCTTGTATATGGTGAATATTAATAACTTTCTTTTATTACGAGGTTTGACTTGTCAAAATACCAAACTTTTTAATAGTTTTATTATCTTGGAAAAATGATATATTTTAAAATGTATTTTGTATGATGGAACTGATATATCTCAATTAAAGAAGTATTCAATGTTGAAGTTACAGGCAGCTTATCAATGGATTCACGTTGTATCATTTGTTAATTTCAACATTACTTTTAGTGAAAGTGCAATGTAAAAAAACTCGGTCGTTATAGTATTTCACTTCGTTAGCCCTTTGAATGATACTGAGAAGTTTAGTCTCATCTCAGGTTTCAAAAGAAATGAAACAACCACCCCAAGACTGGCTTTACAAAAAAAACAGAACACGAACCAGAGTATATATATCAAACTCAATTACCATAGAAACACCACATAGACAGATGTATTGGGAAATTGCTTCTCACTACTTTTAAGCCTAAGATGCATCCAAAAATCATGCTAAATTCTTCATAACAATGGTGTTGAAGTGTAAGAGATCGAGTTCTGGTTTTCTCAACCACAAGAGGAAACAAGAATTTGATGCTTTACCGACAATGGTTAAAATGAAGAATTCGATAATCCAAGAAGAGGAAGACAAGGACAATGTTGCTTGCGACATAAGCAACATAAAAAAAGAGTTCCCAAGACAGTTGAGTTTCGGATCAAGAGCTCTTGACCTCAACTTAAGAGTTGATGCCGAAGAAGAAGAAGTAACAGTAGCTAAACTGGCCACTCAAATCTCAAGCGGGTTTGAAGAACGTTTTCTAGATTCGATCAAGAACCGGTTTGATTTCACAGTTTTGTCAAACGAAGATATAACCAGCTTATTTGTGACGAAGATCAAAGATTCGTGTGAGGAGATCCTCGGGAAATGGGAAGAGAGATTTGGGTTTACCGTCGATGCGGAATTGATCGAGAAATTTTATAGAGAGTGTGGGTTTTTGGCTAATGGTTTGTTTGAAGAGAGGGTGAAAAAGGTTTTTCAAACGGGTTTAGTTACGGGCAAAGACGGCGGGAAAGAGGGCATATATATGATTGACCATGTGGAGGTATACGAGGAGGAAGGATTCATGGGTACTTGTCTACCTAATAGAATCCAAGTTTCCTTTGTTGATTAGCTTTGGTTTTTAATTGCTCTTTTTATTAATTTCTAGTACAATATATAAAGAAATTAGTATTTTCTTAACTATCTAGTTCAACTTTTCTTTGGCTTCCCAATTATGTCGTAACAAATACAAATAGCAGATCTGTTGAAAAAAAAAAATAGCAGATCTTTCCTCAAAACAAAATTTACCTATCCTACGTAATTAGCTTCAACAGTAAACCAATATGGCTTTGAAAAATTATATGATGTAACTTCAGTGATTGTTTGTTGTATTAAAATAGTGTGATACAAAAAAAAAACATTAAATGCCACATCAAAAAATGCTTTTCTTCTATTTTGTCTATTTATTTGAAGGGAGAGTGTCAGATTTAACCCATATTTTAAAGTCAAACACAAAACTAACCTCTTTTTTTTTCTCTTTCCAACTTTTGCCATTTTCTCACAATTTTATCCTTCTCACTTAAACTATTAATAAAAATGCCATTATACATCTATTATTTCGATTTTTCTTTAATTTGGCTAAAGTCTCATTAGACCTTCTAAAAACCTTTTTATTACGAGAATGCCATCTTCTTCAATTTCTTCAACCACCATGAACAACCATGAAAATGGAATAAATGCTTCTCAACCAATTTTAAAGCTGTAATAAGTAATATTTGAGCTCATTCACTCATAACCTTCCTCATTCTTTCATAATTTCTTCTCCAAAACATCTGGGCTAAGTTACAATGCCAAAAGTCATGCATTTTTGGTGATTTCTGGTTACTTAACATCTGGGTTGCTTATTTTTGGTGAAATCCTGAGTTCTGGGTGCTTAAAAGAACTGTAGCCAAGCTCAATTTTGTTAAAGGTAATCGTCGCACTTCAATTTTTCCATATTTCAGTTTTCATATCGTGAAAGTAGACTTCTCGTGAAGTATACTGAAGTCTACTAGTCAACATAAGGTTATTTTTGCAATTGACTTTTAAAAAGTAGACTTCATTAAACCTCACGAGAAGTCTACTCGATATCCTTTGAAAACAAAAAAAAGCATAGTAGACTTCATTTGAAGGCTTAAGAAGTCTACGAAAGAAAAGAGGTTATTTTTGTAGTTGACCGTATTTTGACTTTTTAATGTAGACTTCTTTCTAAAGTCTACTCTTTATGTCTGCACAAGAAGTCTACTTTTAAGTTACTTTTGTAGTTTGACCAAAAACGTATAGGTCATTTTAGTGTTTGACTAAAGTTTTTCAAAAATAAAAAAATTTAAAAAATTCCAAAAAACTTCAGTAGACTTCACAAAGAAGTCTACATTTTGGGAAGTCTACTTATGGTGTTCGGTCAAACTTAGAAGGATCCTTTTTTGAGTAGACTTCATTGTGAAGTCTACTAAAAAAATTCAATTGCAAAAATAACCTATTTTGTTCCGTAGACTTCTATTTAAAAAGTAGACTTCAAAAGTAGACTGTCAGAGAAGTCTACTCTTACATGAAGTCTACAATAGAAGTCTACTTTGTTAGTCAATGCATCGGTCAAATGCTAAAGTAATCTTTTTTGGCCGGAAGTCTACTTCTGAAGTCTACTGAAAGAAAAGTCAACGGATTGGTCAATTGCAAAAATAACATGTTTTTTAGTAGACTTCTTTAGTAGACTTCACTATGAAAAAGTAGACTTCTCCTCCAGTCTACGTTTGAAGTTTGCTTTAGAAGTCTACTTATTGCAATTTTTTTTAAAAACGCGTTTTAGGCAAATTTATAAAGTATTTTTTAAATTTTTTGGATTAGAATTGCTTCTTAGTAAGTGATTGAACTACCCAGTGAATTTCATTTCATTTCATTCGATATTTATTGTTGAATCAGAAGTTTCGATTTTTAAGCTACTTAGCTTATCAAAGTAGACTTCAGTAGACTTCTCCTGAAGTCTACTAATGAAGTCTAATTGGGAAGTCTACTATTTGTATTTATTTTAAAAACGCTTTCCAAAAATATTTATAATGTTTTTTAAAATTTTTAGGTTTGGATATGCGTGTTAGCAAGTGGTTGAACTACTCAATGATTTTCATTTGATTTAAGTCGATAATTAGTGTGAAATCAATTTTTTTGATTTATAAGCTAGTTAGCTTGTAAAAGTAGACTTCTCCAGCAGTCTACGGATGAAGTCTGCACACGAAGTCTAATTGCTAGAAAAATTTGTGTTCTATGTGTTTGCCATAATTTGGTTTATAATTATGTTTGCTAATATGATTTTTTGTGTTTTTTGATATAGAATAGTTCAATTGAAAATAGGAGATGGAAGAGAACTTGTATTTTGTGCAATGTTTTTGTATTCTTATTTACAAGTTAACATTTATAGTACATACAAAATTAAGTCACACAAGTTGATATTACATACAACATTAAGTTGATAAAGTAACATAAGCTGATTTAAAACATTGTCTTGGACACTTGGCAAAAGACAATATGTGCAGTCAAGACTTTGATCATGTTTAAGGTTTGTTATCATACCCCTTAAAAAGATAAACTGAAAAGATCTTCATATATTAACATCAATTTGCATATGCATATGTTTTACAATTTTTCATATTGATATTCTGCTTAATGACTATAACAAGAAAAACCAAAATAAACAAAGGATTAAGTTAAATAGACCCAAAAAAACAGTGCACGTAAGTGCTCATGCCATAAGACGCTGATGCTCCACATATCTGCTTCAGTGCTATAAGACCTATGGAGTACTTCAGGTGCAACATAGTACGCACTTCCAACAACATCATTGAGACGCTGATTAATTCATCAGAAAACTTTACTGTCAAAGCCTGACTTCTATATGCAAAATCATGTAATGAGAAAGAGGAACAAAGAAATAGATCACTACCGTATCTAATGAAATCAGACAAGCCAAAATCAATGACCTTGAGTATTGCATCCTCATTTCTGCTGGTAAAGAGAAAATTCTGCTTACAAAAATGTACCATATGTTAGAGCAAAGAAGAGGGAGTTAGTTGATATATATCAGCAACTTAGTGGGGCAGACTGTGTACCTCCGGCTTCAGATCACGGTGCACAACACCTTGAAGGTGAAAAAATGCTGTCGCAGACAAAATCTGTACAAGAACGTTTGGCATCGACTTCAGGGTATCGACCACCTCTGCAGTAATATCCAAGACAATAACACAAGGTTAAACCCATATTCAATGCAAAGCTAACAAGCCTGAGTAGTCCGAATTTAAGCAAGAAGATTCAAAAAAAAAATGTACTCTGGATTTACCTCGCCAAAATCCTGTCCAATAGCTCTCCACCTTCGCATAACCTGAGAGCATATTAGAGAGGAAGATTTAATATCTCAAGTCGACTCATTTATATAGTTTGGTTGCTATATATCAAATTATTATCAAGGAACAATGTAGAGTTCGACTACTTACTCCATAACAACAAAGACATTATCAGCGTCCTCGTATACATCGTAGAACTTTACCATATGCCTATGCCCAGACAAAGCTTCCAACAGTTTCACTTCTCGACGAACATCTTCAATCGATAAAGCCGATATCATCTGAAAAGAAAAACGCCACAAACCCAATTCATCATCGTAATATCTCTATAATATATACAAACCAATAATCTACATTCCATCAATTAGAGAATAATGTACTCAAAACGAGATCTTAAAAATGTATTAGAAATGTGATTATGTGGTGTGAACAGAAGTAACAAACACCTTAGCTTTAGAGATGATTTTGACGGCCTCTGTTTGGCCCTTGATCTTCCCTTTCTTGGCCTTTGCCCAACAAGTATGACCAAAATGCCCTCACCCTACCTCCTTCCCAAGCTCGTACTTTCCTTCAAAGTTCTTCCCGAACCCGAAATTCTTGTCTAGAATCTCTCCGCCGCCGCTTTCTCCTCCGACGTCTACGTCTTCGCTGTCCTCCGGGATCGAACGAGGAGGAGAAGCTCCTCCACCCGCCACCGCCGAGACTGAGCCGTTCACCGCCACCGCTCTAATCCGAACTCCAGTTCACTCTCATCTGGAAGATCAATCTTCCCCACTTCCGATTCTAACCTGTCACGCATGTCAATTAAGAATCCAAATATATGAAAGAGAGAGAGTCTTTCAACGGACAACCAAAGAGAGTAACAATGGTTTACCATTTAGTGCCGGCGACCAACGAGAAATCCGGCAACGAGGAGGGAACCAGCTGCGGCAATGAAATCGCCCCTGTGATGTCGCAAACAACGAGTGATGCGCCGTTTAAGAGAGAGGCGAGAGCTTTTTTTTCCACTAAAAAATTAGGGTTACATCTTATATATATGACTAATATTTTTTGGTTTAATTTTGGTTTAATTTTCGGTTAGGAAAATTATTTTCGATTTAATTTCCGGTAAAGTTAATTTATTCGGTTTAGCAGACTTCCATATTGAAGTCTACTAAGTGTAAACCCTAAATCAAATATTTTGTTCTTCTTAATTTGAAATCATAAATTTAAATTTATGAATAAAAAAAATAATTTATATACATTAGGATTACTAATATCTAATTTATGATTACAAATTTGAAACTAATATTATTTTTTATAATTTTTAAAATTAAATTTTATGATCTAATTATATAGTAGACTTCATAAGCTGTGTTAGAAGTCTACTAGTAGACTTCTATTAGTCTAAAGTAGACTTCACAAGGGTTTAAATCGTAATTCGGACATCTATTTTTTTATTTAGTCATACAGGAGTATATTGTCTTTTCACTACCCTTTTAGGTTATTTTTGCTAAACATTACATCAAAGGTCTACCTTTGTATTTAAAATCAATTTTTAGGTCATTTTTAGCAAAAACCCCTTATTTGAATGGATTAATCTATAAATTGTTGTTGTTAATGATAATGGATAAATCCATAGTTGATCTAAGGGTTCACACTAGATATAAATTATTTGTCCTATTGTTGAATGTAGTGGAAAGGTCATTATGCCAAAGAGTGGCTCAAGACAGTGCTGGCTTAATGCCCAAAAAATATTAAAAACATTGCAAGTTGCTCAAAGTAATTATGACCCTAAGACACCTTTTGCATTGCATGTCCATGTAATCCTCCATTATTAATCAAGTATATTATGTCCTAATTGACTGTATGTCAACAAAAATTATTATCAATAATGTCCTAATAGGCAAAACAATTGTCTTACTAATGACTTATATGGGAGGTGAGCATATAAGTGAAGCACGCCACATTCACTGTATAGATGATGATGGCATATTATACTCTAGACAGTATCTCATCGATTTTACTGATCGAAGGCCATGGATAGTTTCATAACTTCATATGGGTGCATTACGGTTACGCTCACCCAACTATGAAATGTCTTGAGTATGCTATGATGTATTTCTTGAGTATGCTATGATGTATGGAATGCCAAAAAGTGATGATTGGATCCGGATGTGGAAGTGGGTTCTCATCTAAGCAAAATGATGTCAGAATGTATCACATATTGAATGACGTAAGAGTATTTATAGATGTTCATAAGGCAATACAATATCTAAAAGTCCAACTCATTATTGGAACGTTGGTGTCATCAAACCTGAATTTTATTAGATTGGTGATGTAAGTGATGCATTTCAATTATAATTTTTAGGTTTTTTTATTTTTTATATTATACAACATTTTAACTAACAATTAACAACTATTAACTTTACCTATGTTGTAGGAGTTTATTGTGCAATTTTTGAGCATTACATTATGGTGGAGAATGAAGAAACCATCACGTACTGCAATAATAGCCACAATTATGTACGTGAAATCCGTGAGTTTAGGAACCATAACTAATTTTAATGTTTTCATAATAACTAATTTCATACTCCTTTGGAACTTTGCAGTGTGACATGAGTTTCACTTCTATCAAGTATGAGTCCATGTTTATTAAACTTTTTGGAATGGATTCATCATCGGAATGTCTAAGCACATCAATAAAAATGTGTATGCGCTTTCTCATTATCATTTTATGTTTTTTTAGTTGTTGAATTTTGCTTTTTCTTGTTCTATATCCAAACTTTTATTCTATCCATCAGAAATATACTACTAGGTTTTACATTCAGGTTTATTGGAAAGACGATGCTGCATCCGTATTGGTTCGGTGCACAAACTTGGTTCAAAAAAATGGATATTTTGGGATGAGTGATATCTAAGTTGGCAATCATTATTTCTTATAATTCATGACTGCAAACAAGGTTGGCAAAACATATTTTTATTCCAAATCAAGTATAATGTTATTTCAGAGACAAACATTCAAAGATGTTATCAACAATATGGTTGCAAAGGGTCTAATATGCGTTGCTCTAGCCTTCCAAACACCATCTCAAGATAAAAGAAAATAGCGGGTATTACCAGATACAAATATTTTTCTGTTTGCTATATTCGATATCCAGGTAAGAATTTACTTTTGCTACTTTACCCTTGTAATAAACTCTAGCAATAATTCTTTTTCTTTATCGAATCATATTATTTGCAATGTTTCCAATCTGTTTACATTCCTTATTGGATTTGCTCCCACATTAGTTAGTTATCTTGGAGGAGTCACTACTTGGTTCTAATTTTTCTTGAGTTGATTTTGGATGTAGACGCTAGAGGAATCCAACGATTTAACTGAAGCCATTGACTCAAATGATGGTCAAATTTGTCTTGGTAGTAGTATCTTGAGTTATCAATAAAGCTATTTACTACTTTTGATCATGTTACATTTATGCACTACATAATGTTGTGTTTGGGTTGTGTTTATGTCTTAAAGTTAAAACTCTTTGGACTAGAGCATATTAGATCTATTATAACCGTCACTTAGAGATTTATGTTTGCAATGCGTATTAATTTGTAGCATGTTTGCAAGTTGAGCTTAAATTCATGTTTTCTGCTTGAATTTTCTAAAACCTTAAAGACAATCTGAAACAAACTATCCAAATACAGGGACCTAAACTGAAAATACATAAAAGTTGGGCGCATTACCAAAGCAAAGCAGCACCTAACGAGAACCCGACCGGAGGAAAAAAAAAAAAAAGAGAACCCGACCGGAGGAAAAACAAAAAAACCAGAACCCGACCGTTGAAAGCACCCTTTCAAGTCGCCGCCGGTGACTCAAAACCGCCGAATAATATCTCAGAACCTCCCAATTTTCCTTCTCGGAAAGATCTTCACTTTTTGTCTTCATATTTCTCAATCCGTGATTGATTGATTGATTCACTGCTATCTTCTTCAATCCCATCTCCTTTATTGCTCGCTTCCAGGTTTGCTTCTTCTGTCAAAAACTCTGAATTTTGTACGGTTTTCTCAATCTTCTGTTGTTTGCTTCTTCCGATTGATTAAGAGTTGCGATTCCTTTGCTCAATATAGTTACAGAGTTATTATTATGTATTGGGTCACGAACATATAATAAAGGTGTTAAAGAGAGACCCGTGTTTGTTATATACGAAGGGTTGTTTTCTTGATTAGTCTAATGTTCGATCTGTTTTCGTTGTCTTGTCTGCAAGTGTCGGCTTCAATCAGACATCTGTAATCTTTCAGTTAAAAGTAACAACAACAAAAATCTGAATTTGGCAGTCTCTTATGTGTGTGCAAGTGTTTCTTAAATCGTTAGTCGTTACAAGACTTAAATTCATGTTCCTGCTAGGTTTTACTGGTCTCTCTCTTTGATATCGGTATATCTTCTTTCTGTGTTTGATTTGGAATGGCTTCCTCTCCACAGTCTCTTCTTTTTCCTTTCTCTCTTTAATGCCTCTGAGAAAAAAAATAACTGACTGCAACTTGGAGAAAGATGGTTCACATTGACTCGCTTTGAAACTTTAGCACATGTGGTTATAGCAATTTATTCTTCTGTGAAATTGATTTTGACAAATGGTTTTGCAATTTCATTTCTGGAGCTCAAATACTAATTTTTCAGTTTCATCTCTTCACTTGTGCAAACCTCTTGTTTTGAGTTTTAATGCTCAGTTGTATCACACTGAGAGATGGGTATCACTCACATCTGATTTTGTCAACTTGCTTCGACAAGCCACTAGTGATGTGATAGAAACGCTAGAGCCTGCTTCGGGAATCTCAAGATCGAATAAGCAGGATGAAAAAGCCATGGAGAAGATGGTATACCTGATACTTGATCATGTGGATCTTATCAGAGAGTGGGACAAAGGCTCTATGGTTCTGCAGTTTCTATTCAATTTGTATTCTGTTCTGAAGATGCCTCAGTTTGGTATAATACTTATCAGCGGATTGCCGCCAAATGTTGCTCTTTTGGCTCATTGCTTTAGAGAACAGTACCATTGTTTCTCTTTTGGCACATTGCTTTATACAAAATTGTTTGATTCACTGACTTTAACAATTCTTGTAAAATCGTGTTATAGTAATGGTGGTGTATTCTCTTGATGCATTTTGAATAAAATGGTCTGTTTTTCTTTTGCTTGTGATGAATGATACTTTTGCTTTTGCTAGTTTCATTTCAGTTAAAGCCCAGGAAAGTGAAGATTAGCATATATCTATTCGAACATAATGTTACATTTAAGAGATTATGTTAAAAAAGCATGTAATGTTAGCTTGAAGAAAAATTATATACCAACTTAATCCAGATGGTATAAATCGTCATGCGGACCAAGTACAGCAGTAGTACCTGCAAACATTGGTTTAACCTCCTCTCCAAGAAGTATAACCGATAGAGTTTGAAACATTTTAAACCGAACCAGTCAGATTTCGGTTTACGGCTCTCTCTTAACCGCATTTTCGATGGCTGAGCCTTACGGGCCTGCCATCAGTTGTAGAACGTCTTGGCTCGCCACATTTGTGCACTTTGAACATTGATTGTTACGAGTTTAATGCATCTAAAAAAATATATCTTTTCACGTCTGGATGCACAATGATGAATGAAATTAAGCATTCCGAATTTCGAATCTTTCTCCTTCAAGTGGGCAATGATAAACTATTCTATTAGTATTCATAATGGCAAAATGACATGTTCTATTGTATCTCTCCGATTCGATTAAAAAAAAAAAAGGTTTAAATATATCAGATGAAGCAATCGGTGGTACATTTAATAGACCAATTTTAAATTTTATAAAAGGAGCGTTCAGCTTCTTTACGCATAGATAAAAAGTCTCGTAGAATAATCTTAATTTCGGACTGCAAACAAACTAGCAATATGGTTTTCATGATACTTACAGAGAAAGACGTTCTTATTACAGGACCACAACTAACAATCGGCCTCTAGATACTTACCAAGAACTAAGCTCTTGTTTACTTAGATAAGCGTGGGACAATGAAGTCGACGAGGAGTCCCGTTGGCTCTGTGAGCTGAGTCTCTTCGCCATCGCCATCACCCGGTAACGCGAGAAGCATACGATCCAAAGACACTTTCACGTCCAAAGTTTCCTTCTTGTAGCAAATCCTCACCGTCGCAACCTTCTCCTCCACTGCAATCCAGATCACGTCTCTGAGTCCAAGGTAGCGTGTTCCAGCAACTGACGGACCCTCGTAAACTCCCTGCCACACAATAAATTGAACAGGATTAGATCAATAATCTCTGAAAAATGTCATAAAAAAATCTAACTAATTAGAGCACTGTACATCTTCTCCGACAAGTTCAATCTCCGGACTGAACACATGCAGTTTAGCTCCTACCGGTTGCTTCACCAACAACTTAAATGCATCCTCAAATGTCTTAGCCTCAATCACTTGTCCTTTCATTGGAACGCGAGGTATGGCTGCAGCAAATTTGGGAACTTTGAACACACATCCCACATGTCCCCAATGTTCTGCTTTGGGCATCCCTTTTTTGAAGGCACACTCGAGGCAGTCTTTGACGGTTAGCTCGGGGCGTTGTTGATTGGCTTCTCCCTGCCCAGGTTCCTCCTCGAGACGAACGATGTACTCCAAATACTCAATGCATTCATCGAGAGTCATCAGGCCGCTTTGTTGATCAGCTTCTCCCTGCTCGGATTCATTCTTGGGACCAGCGTAGTCCACCAAAAACTGAGCTGAGTACTTAGTAAACTCACTGTCCAGCTCTATTATAACCCTCGCAGAGCTTATCAGATAAGCCGCTACCAGAGCCGCCCTTTCCGATGCATCTGCAAGAACCAAAAATAAAACAAACGAAAATGAACCCAATGCATGTGAAGTCAATTCGTTTTGATTCTTTCAAATGATTAGACCGAACTTGTTTTAGTAACTATCAGTCAACCCAAATCACAGTATAATGACGAACATAAAGTAATCTCAAGATTCTACAGTGATAACTTACCATAGTCTTCTTGGGCATTCATTTTCTGTATGCACAATGGATGAAGACAGCCTCGAGACATCTTGCAAGTACTTATCCCTGCATACATATGAAATTAGCAGACAAAAGTTCAAAATCAGAAGCGAATCAATGTGAAGTATACTCAGAAGAAAGGAAAAGCAAGAGGTGTGTGGAGACTGGAGACCGTTGCTTCCATCAAGCAGAATAAGACATTTCAGAAAGAAGATATATAAAGCTAAATCAGAGTGAGACCAGCAAAAACAAAAGCAAGCGGAGAGACATGGTTTCAAGCTCGACATAAACACATTATCGTTTTAGTTTTCTGAGAAAAATCGACGCTTTAGACTAAACCAGACTAAAAAGCTGATAGCTTTTCTAACAAATAATAACCAACCTAAAGAAGGATTCAGTATCATTCATCCAAGCAAACTGTTAAAACCCGAAAAACATAGCCTAAAAGTTCATCAATGTTCACTAAATTGCACGAGAAGGCCAGGTCACAAGCAGAAATAAGCTAAGCAAGCTAAACGAATCCAACTGAGACCAAAAAAATAAGAAAGTCGAGAACTTTACCAGAGACGATTGAGAGAAGCTAAGCTCAGAGGTAAAGAGTGAAAATGATGAACATTGCTCTTTTATACAGGATCGAAAAACCCTAATAGTCTCGGACAGATGTCATCATCGGGGATCATCAAGGGCATGAAATGGATTTGACAGGTCAAGCTCAAGCCGTACCAGTCTTCGTTTGCTCCTTTCGCGTGACGTGACTGGTACTCTGTTTTTTTGTCGCAGAGTGAGAGAGCCGTTGAAGACTGTTACCGGGTGGGCTTTAAGCTGGGTTTATCTTCATATTGGCCCATTGACCTTTCCTCCTTACGCCCAATTTCCGTCTTAGACATTTGTATGGCCGAAGTCTCTGATGTCTGGGGAGTCTTCGAATAATGGCAGTTTGCTCAGAAGCCTCTGTTTCACTCGGAGTATCCGAAACTGAGTTGTTCTGGTTAATAGAGACAACAAAGATTCAGAAGCATCACAAATCTCCTTTGAAATTGAGAGAAAGTTCCCAATTCTCAAAACCCTCTGTTTCCCCTTAGAAACGACGTCGGTTATGCTACTTTTTTAAGTTTTTTTTATTAATCAGCCACTTTAAAGAGATTTCTGTGAGTATTAATAATATTATACCAATGTGATATCTGTATCAATATCATAAGAGAAATACATGTTCTCAAAATTCATAAAGAAAGTACTAGTCTGACATTACTTGTTCATATTTTTTTTAAGAGAAATACATTTTCTCGAAACTCATAAAGAGGAGCCTAGTTACAAAATTTGTAATCAAAAGCGGAAGCTGCCCATTAGAAGGTTCTATTAGATACCGTTCTATGGTCTCTGAAGATCTGGCTCTGAAGGTAAATACACTTTATTTGCAATTCTTGAGTGCATTCTCGATGCTATAAGACTGAAGCGCTCGATACAAGTGTATCGTAGAATTTAGCATGATTTTTGGATGTATCTTAGGCTTCATAGTAGTCAGAACTGAGAAGCTATTTCCCATACAACTATGTCTATGTGGTCTGTAAATGTTTGTGAGTGATGCTTCTTTTGTGTAAACTATACTAGTATTTATTTTTACTGTTTCTATGAGTAATTGAGTTTGATATAAGTAAATCAATAAATCAATAGATATAGAAAGAGAGGGAGACAAAGATATTTACTTGGGAGTTTTAATCATGTCTGGTATACCTAGTATCATCATCATTATGGTCCACGCCCCCTTCATATACCCCATAATGTATTAGTTCCTCAAACCCTAATCTAAGTCTACAGATAACTTTAAGAAAAAGGAATACTTGTAATTGGTTCGCATTGGCCTAGTAGTGGGGTACCATTCAAAATGACTTTTTAATTATTCAAAATGGATTAAAAAAGGTTGGTGGTCCATGATAAACTCTCTACAACAAAATAAAATTTATAGTTGTTAGTTAAAAATAATTCAGATGTATAACATAAGAAACAAAAATACTATAAAAATATTATTTTAATTGCATCACTTACATTACTAGAAAATTCAAGAAAGATACCAATGCATCCACAAGTATTGGTTAGGTTTGTATGTAGCGAATTGTTTTGTATCAGAAAATGCTCTTATGTCATTTGACGTTTTTTGCGAAAAAAATGGAATATTTTAATTTCTCGTTAGATGAGATATTTGTTGCAGAGCCAAAGGAGGATGATATTCAGCACGAAAGATTAGTAAACTAATTCATTTCCTTTTAAGCTTTTGTGTTCTGTTATTCTTTGAATAGTTTAGTTTCTTTTTCCATAAAAACTTTATCTATTTATTTTTATGAGCTTTAACATGATAATGATATTGCGAGACAAAACCAATAGATTGGTGTTTTTATAAATAGAGTTGAAAATTTACATTTATAGCTTTTTAAAGACTTTAACTGTGTAAATGAAATCATTCATTATCTTCCTTGTTTTCATGCATAATTTGTGCACAAATATGATTTGTTTGTCTTATAATACCATGGGTCATGACCCATTTTCATTGGGTTTAGTCTTTGTCCACAAAGGCGGTAAGACCTTTGATATCTCGGTGATTAAAAATAGTTATGTTTAAGGTTAAATAATCAGAGTGGATGGAAAACTCATTGATCTGAACGATCATGTCATTACAAATGACGTTAGAGCATTCACTAATGTGCACAAGACAATAAAGTATTTGAAAATTCAACTAATACTAGGGTCATTGCTTATATTCATCCCGACTTTTCTGATATTGGGAATGTAAGTGACTATGTCCAATTAATAATTTTTCTTTGTTTTCATTAACATCACAGGTGCACATTTTTTTTAGAGTTATTTACATTCAAAGACACTTTCAAGTTTCATTCTTACAAAAAAGACACTTATAGCTATTGGGTAACTTATTTTTTTGTTAATCCGAAATTGTCCTTCATGGATGTGATAAGGTGGATGCGAACTAATGGATAGCAGATTAAAACCCAGATTTCAAAAACAGTAATTATCTTTTCGCATCTATTTTATTTTGTATTTTCTGTATTATGAAAGACATAAAATATTTTTTTTTGTTAGAATGAGTTATAATTTTATTTTCTCATTGTTTTAAGATCCATTATACTATAGTTTATTTATCAAACAAAAAAATTTCAAAAACATATGTATAAAACTTTTAAAAAAAATCAGAAGTCTAGGCAGATATCCACTTAGAAAATATGATGTGGATGATGCATAATGGACATATAACATGGACTTGAATGCGTGGATATGTTTTCATTGAGGTATCCACATATAAAATATGATGTGGATGATGCATATTGGATATATAACATGGACATGATTACGTGGATATGTTTTCATTGATATATTCAACATGGATATACATTTTACATTGTTTATAACCTATCCATATGATCCACGTCCACCTTATGGACAATGTAAAATATATATCTATGTCGAATATATCAATGAAACATATCCACCCAATCATGTCCATGTTGTATATCCATTATACATCATCCACGTCATATTATCGGAGTGGATATCTACCTATACTTTTGATTTTTTAAAAAATTTTATACATATGGTTTTGAAAATTTTTTTGCTTGATAAATAAACTATAGTATAATGGATCTTAAAACAATAAGAAAATGAAATTATAACTCATTTTAATAAAAAAAATATTTTATGTCTTTCACAATACAGGAAAATACAAAACAAAACAGATGGGAAAAACTAATAATTATTTTTAAATTTTAGTTTTAATCTACTATCCACTTCTTCGAATCCACCTTATCGTATCCACGAAGGGTAATTTCGGGTTATTTGAGCGTAAACAGTGAAATAAGTTATCCAATAGCTAAAAGTTACTCTTTTTGTTATTTGAGTTATAAAAGTGTCTTTCAGTGTAATTATCTCTTTTTTTAACAATAACAACGTAATTTTCCAATGTTTTAGTGAGTTTATCGTGGGCCTTTAACATATCAATTCGAACTTTCATCAGGCGAGCATGCAGTTTCTATACGCTCTATTTCTATACGCTCTATTTCTATAGAGGAAGTGGAGGGAATTGCGCTTATAAAGAACACTCATGGCAATAAATTCAGGCATTGTAAAGTATCTCTGGACGTGATTATCGCTGAGCTTGAGAATGAGAAAAGTTTGCTTGACAATCAAATGTGAGTTCCTGGAGTCGCTCTTTCGGAAGCTACATATTTTTTTATATTTGAAGGGATTTTCCATAATACATCGGGTCTTAGAAGGCCGATAGAGCGAGCATTGCTTAAATTAAATGGGCAGTACAGGTTATCTCTCTAATTTGATTTCCTTCAATTTTACCAATTTTTTTATAGTATTGACAATTACTTTTATATGCTTTTGGAACCAACTGCAGGGGCAAAGGAAAAAAAATGTAGTTATAGAAAATCCACTATCATTAAACTTTCTACATGTCGTAAATCAGAACAGAAATGTCGAAGCTTAGTGGTGGACTGTGTATGTGTTTTTTTTTCTCATTAGTCATTACTTCTAGTTGTAATATGTTTATTTTCAATATACTTCTAATAAACTTTCTCATTCATATTCAGCAAAATACCTATAATTGCACAAAGTACAATTTAATAGGTCAATATTTAGAGATGGATAACACACCAAGGTTAGACAGTTAGCAATCGTTGTTTCTTATTTGTGGCTTTTGTAATCCCGGTTTAAATTAATATAATCTAAGTTTGAACCAAAAAAAAGGATAACACCAAGGTTAGCAATCGCTGTTTCTTCTTTGTTTTCATGAAAACATATTTGGAAAACCATATATTCTTCTTAATTCTTAATTAAGTTATTTCATGTAAGAAAAATGAACTCAAAGCTGCTATCAAGGACATGGCTTCAAGAAAATTAATATGCATAGCTCTTGCATTCAAAAACTTTGAAATGAATGATATTCCTTAAAATAGGTTTCTGCTGCGTGATACCTTGTCTTCTCTATTATAATAGTCGAAATTTTGAAGACACAACGTTAAAGGTATCATCCATCAACTGGGTGACTGATCACATTTAACAAAATTTTTAAAAATTATGTTGGAATTAACTGCTAACACAATGTGAATATGTACTTTTCACTTTAACATAATTGATCAGTCAGTTCCATCATACCATTAAAATATATCATATCCTCAAAGTCACTGCTCTCTGATCCGCTTTCTTCGCTTTCTTCATCAGCATCCTCGCTCCAACATATAACCTCGAGGCGCATGTGTCCTGGTTTGCCATCCATCGTCTTCCGAACAACCGCTCTATAGTCACCAAGCCCACCATTTTCTAGATCATCTGCACATTGAAAACTTATGTAGAAGATTGCATTGGCTACCTTGAGCTTATCACGCGGCTCTGTCTCAGCTTCTTCTTCTCCTCGAGTTTCCACAACCACCTCTTGAGGCCTCAATGGTGCGTAATCCCCAATCTCAGTCACAGTGAGCTCTCCAATCCAGATCGTGTAGAACGCAAGCTCAGTGAAGAGAGGCAGCCACCAATTGTCCCTGTGATGCAGCTCTGACCCTTCAACCTATGGATCAACAAACCCAATAACAAGTCATATGACTTGGCCATGATTTGCATCAACATGTTTTAAACGACTACTAGCAAGATGAAGCAGAGTTATACCACATAGCATCGTTGGCGATCTTCATCGGATAACCATTGTGGCATTTCACCTTTGTAATAATCATTTATTGCTACATTGTCCCACTCATCATCATCAGCCTCTTGGCTACCTTTCAACCTGAAAATGCACGTTTCCCACCACAACCCCTCGCCTCGTGCAGCATATCCATCGTTATGCTTAACGCACGTCTCAAAAGTGAGACGTGGCCGGTCGCTGGATGGATTCAGTGCCTCAACTGTTATGAAGAAAGAGTTGTTGAACGAATAACAACACTGACGATATATCTTTCTAACAAACAGAAAATCGTAATCTGTGCCCTGCGAGAGATCAGAAAGTAAAACAGGAAGGATGATAAGTATGACATAGAGAAGATGAGAAATAAAAACAGGGTTAGAACAAGAACCTACATTCTGAAAATTGTAACAATAAAGTCCAAGTCTGGCGCAGAGGCCGTAGTCATAATTTGAGCGCCAGTGAGGATTCTTAACCTTCTCACCTGCATTAAAACCCTAGAGGCACATGCACAACACTAATTCAACAATCCAAAGACACAGAATAAAAAAAGCTTTGCTAATGCACTAATACATGTCACAATGCTTGTCTGATGACATATCCAATCACACCATGATCTGCCAATATTAAAACAGGACCAAAATCTTACGTCGGAATCTGGACACGTTCGATCATCATCCGAGTCACCGTCGCCATGAGGTAATAATAACTTCTTGGATTCCTTTAGCGCCTCGGCTTCCTCACGTTCCTTACGGACCTACATCAAATGAAAATAAAAATTTAGAATCCTAGCAACTCTACTGTGAGAAAAAAACAGTTGATGATGAATGGAGAAACGCAAAGGAAAGCTGCTAGACGGCCTAAAAAAAACCCTAATATAAGAAGAAAATGCAGAATAGGGAGACAACTGTTTTTTACCATCTCCCTGAGTTGGGCAAACTCAGGATCATCAAAAATTGTTGGTCCATGTTCATGTGGCGACTCAGGATCATCAATAACTCTTTCACCATCCTCATTTGGCGACGCTTCCACGATTCCCTCCATATCCACTATTGTTTCGTCAAACCCTATTCTCAGATCGCAGGAGAGAAGTTGATCAACAACTATAAGAAAATGATATAAAAGAAAAGATCGTACCAATTAAATAAGGGATATATGCCACCATAGACCCCTTTTTTTGGGGACTTAAATGACGTCAATATTGACCTAGCTAGAGCGTGGGACCAATTCTTTTGATATTTCTGAGATTTGAGATGGATTTTGAGGGCTTGGCCAAAGAGTTGGAGGTTATGGAGGAAAAGGATCCGAGTGGATCCGGGAGGAGACGACGTCGGATTCTAAGAGCATCAGACGCTGTGCGAAAACGAAGGGCAAAGCAAAAGGATTTGCTAAAGACATATATGGTGATGATGATGTTCCAGTCGGTCCGGACCCTTTGTTTCAATTGATACTTGAGGATCGCTTGTCCTATGTAATCTCTTTCTCAATAGATTCCTTAATGATGTTTGTATATATCGAGATTTTGATGATTTCTTTTGTAGTAATATTTGTGATGATACTTCGAGGGATGATCCTTTCTTTTATCTTCCTTCGTTTTGTAGGGTTTTGATGTGGATTGCTTTCATTACGGTCCGTATAGAGTAGTTGAGTCTAAGTGGGGAGATGATTATGATATCGCCCTTTTTGCTAGGCTTGGACTCCACTGCCACAATTTTCAAAAGGTATTATGTTTTTTTTTTCTTTTTGCTGCAAAATATTATTGTGGAATCTTAGTCCTTTGTAGAATTTTTTTTTTGTAGTTTCTCTATCTGACCCTTTTTAGTCATGATCTTTTATGGAGTTGTTGTGATTTACCTTGCCTTGATTTGCTTTGTTTTTAGGGAACAAACTTCAAGTTTGTTCGCTGGGAAAAATACAGTACTAACTCTACTGCATACAGCAGCTACTACATAACTTTGGACGCAAAGGATCCAGCCTCTGACACCAGATTCTCTTTACAGACGATGTTAAGCGATGATTATTATGCAGCCCGTTTCATTAGGTGGAGTACCTTAGCCTGCAGAGTCAAATGTACGTAATATTACCATTCGTTCGTGGCTCTGTCTTTACCCATGTCTTATGTCTTTGCACTGTATATAATCCTTCCATTAGCTCTGATTTGTAGACAACACTAGAGAAACTAACTTCTTTATTAGAAAACTAACTGTCTAACTGTTTAAAGGTACCAAGGCTGTGGATGATTATTGGGACGATTCGAAAATAGATGAGTTCTACAAAAGTGCATTGCCCAAATGGTCGTCTGATGAAGAATTGGCCCGTGACAATAAAAATTATTATGTGGTAAGATCATGCATAGTCTCCAGTGGATGGTTTATTTTGTTTTAAGTAAGCTTGTGTGAAAATATAAACAAGGTAAGCGAATTCATATATTGTGGATATGATCATCATCATTCACAGGTGCAAGAATCAGAGCTGCAGGAGAATGACTGGCTGCATCTATTCACCGAAATTACGCGAAAACAAAGAGAGTAATTAAGTCCTTAATAAACTGCAATTATTGTTCTCTTCCCCCAACAAAAAAAAAAATTGAAAAAAAGAAAGAAAGAAAGTGAACTTTTTTCTTTTGCAGAAATTGACGGCTTCCCCATTTCCACCGTTGGAGATCAAGAAGGTGGTTGTTGTAACTAAAGAAGAATACACAAGAGAGCCGCGTGAGATTCTCAAGGCAGAGAATGCAATCTTCTACATATGTTACAAGTATAATGGTGATTCTTCAAGGGGTTGGGAGGGTGATCACAGAGCCGTAGTAAGGAAAACCATGGATAAGAAACCAGGACACATGTGTCTTGAAGTTGAAGCAGAGAGAACTGAAGAAGAAGAAAGAAGAGAAAAAGCCAAGTTTCTGGAAAATTTTCGGTCAAAATAGTTGATTATCAATAAAGCTATTTACTAGTTTTGATCATATATGTTACATTTATTGCACGATATAATGTTGTGTTTGGCTTGTGTTTTCTCGGTTTTTCTTAAAACTCTTTGGACTAGAACGAGTTGGATCCATTATTACCGTCACTAAGAGATTTCTGTTTGTACTGCATGTTAATTAGTATGATAAGCAATTACACAAGTTGTAACAATCCATGGAGGTGAGTTCTCTATAACGTGTATCTTAAAATATAGAGTTTGACTTATTTACATCTCTAGTTAAATTCCAAACCACTTGTGAATAAATCAAAACTTATAGTATAACATACACGTTGAGATTTGTACTTATGTCGACTTAAGTTTTTGTTCCTATCTCTTAATTTTTTGTATTTATGCTCGAAAATACATGGTTAATGTCTCGCCAAAGCTGTCAAGTACAAGAGTATCAACAGATTGTTCTACACCTTAAGAAATTGATTTCGAAGACTCGGAGATTTTTTTTAATAATATAAGAATTGAAAAATATATATATTTATATGTATTGTTGAAGAGTACGCCACGTATACTCCTCTTTCAATCCTCTATAAATTCATTGTCCTTGTACAATAATAGCAAAAACATCTTCTCACTTTCAAAAGTTTTTTCCCTTTTCTGGTAATAAAAGGAAAAAAAAAAAAAAGATTTCTCTTCTTTTCTTGTTCTACACACTTCCAGATTTTTCCCAGCAAAACGTACCAGAAAGAAGAAAGACAAGCCCAGCCTTGAGAATCAACAATATATATACACAAAAGGAGATCTCTGAGAATTTGAGTAAGAACAAAAGAAGAAGCGAAAATGTGTTTGGAGATTGTGTATCCACGAGAGAAGACGGAGCTTGGTCGGCAACAAGCACCCGGGTGTGTGTCCGTACTGCGGCGGAAAAGTATCGGCGGTAGACGTCGAGACGAAGTGGTTGCTCTGTTTCTTACCCACTCTGTTTCAAGGTCAAGCGCAAGTACTCTTGTTCTTCCTGCGATCGTCGTCTCGTCTTGTATTATTGAAGAAACAGAGCAAACGAAGCGAGAAAGAATTTGGATGCTGTCTATTTATATTTATTTGTTTGCTTGTTTTGCTCCTCTCAATCAATGTTGAGATTTTTGCAGATTTTCCCCTGTAATTTCTTATTTGCTTAAAAAACACCCCTCCTGCCTCGTGGTGGTGACATTTGATTTATGTTCATTGAGTTCTTTTCCTTCCAGTGTAAATACTTTGTTGATCTTGTTTTGTTGATTACATGAGTGGAATTCGGTTTTGTTTAAATAAAGATTCTCATTCTTTACTGGATTTGTTTACAATATCTTGATGTTCACTTGAAGTCTTGAGTGATTAAATAATCCTTACCAACTGTCGAAAAAAAAAAAAAATTCTTACCAATTATAGATAATTCTTTTCTGTACGTGTTCGAGAGAATAAACCGACGCAACAACGTGGAGCCATAGTCATAGATAATTAAACACGGCGATATTATTCTGAATTAAATTCTTACTATGATTACTGTAGAAGTAAAGTAGACCATGCTTTCGAAGTTTCACTTTTACAGCAAGATTCAACAGAAAATATATTAGATAATTATTGAAGATCTTTATTTGAGTGATTGATAAGAGCGGTACTGTATATGAATGAGGCCAAAGTTTTGCTGTACGTCTTAGCTGGCCTGACATGATATTGACAAAAACAAAAAATTGTTGTGGTCCTAAGAGTTAGAATTTATGTATACTCTATAACGTTCACTTATTTAGCGAATATATTTGTGTGTCCACAAAAAGTATAGAAATGAATCTTCTCATTGTACAAGTATCTTTTATTTTGATTCCGTTTAGTTTCATTTTGTTCGGCATCAAATCAGAAGAATTCTAGTCTTGAGATTATTTTAATTTCTAAAGTTTGTAATGCCAAAGACATGAACCAAAAATCTGTAAATCGATATTCATATTTGTTATTTACAGACAAATTTTTTTGCAGTTGCAGACAGAGCATACTCAAATATGAACAATATAACTAATACGATTAAAGTTGAGTTAAACATACGAAAATATCATTTTTGTTTTGTATTTAACAGTTAATTGTTGATTGTATCACAAAACTAGATATAAACCTTGGAAGAACATACCATATGTTGTAATATTTCTTATAGAATCAGTTCTACTAAAACTAGGTTGGACCATTCTATACCACACAACATCTCTATATATGTAAACTATATTATACATGGATGCTGATTTAGATAGAAGATTTGTTTTGTCGACAGCCAGCAATTTACCTGTATCATTACATTAATTTTTTGTTATAATTTATAACGTATGTATGTATTATTGGTTTACACTAATGTGTCGATATAGAATTCGTTGTAAAAACAAATTTACGATGGTGTGATGATTGAAGAGTTCATCTAGTAATATAAAATTGATGGATTGGAGTTCAAATATTTGTATTACAATTACAATATTGGTTGGCTATTGTATACCTTTTACAATATATGGGATTATGGATAACTGATTCGTTCACAAGTCATCAAACTTAACTTAATTTTTGAAATGGTTTTGAGATTTTTTTAGTTATAAAAAAAAACTGTAGTGCACATAAAAATTAGTATGTTTGGAAATTGCTATCGACATCAGATACGAACAGTAGAGACAACAAATATATGTAAATGATAAGAATAATGGAAGTCTAATAGTTAATGATAAGAATGGAAGTCTAATACTTAATACTTAGGATTGGTTTTAAAGATTGCCATGAACAAGAATATATATAGTATGTAAGCATGGTTTCGTTATTTTGGGACAATGGGCTACCTAGATACTATTTAAAATTTAAATTGATTGATTCAAAATATGATTTCAGCTGTCATTAATTTAATTGTTTGAGACTACAGTAGAAACTCTATAAATTAATATTCGATAAATTAATAAATTCGATTAATTAATAAATTTCTTTGATCTCAAATTTATGTTTTGATTTAATTAATTTCTTCATAAATTAATACAATAATAGCAATATATACTCACAGATAATTGTATAATTAGTTCTCTCTCCTAAACTAAACATTGTTATCGTTCACTGTTCATGTGGAAAATCTCATTTAACCCTTTTCTTTTTTATCTAATTACATATTTTACTTTCTCTTCTTTCAATTATTTTTCGATGAAAGAAAATGAAAAAAAAATGAAAGAAGAAGAAAGGCGATAGAGGGTGGGAAAGGTTGAAGTGTAAATTGGTGATATTGACAGTGAAAACAATAGTCCATGGTGAAAGTGGTAACGGCTATAACGACGACGACTGTAGTGAAACAACGGCGACGAAAATAACTCCACCATCATGTTGGTTATGCTGGTAGACGATGGTGATGGTGCAGTGCCGGTGACATTGGTGATGACACGATGGTCACCGTATCGGTATAAAGTATTAGTTTTTGTTATTAGCAAATATTATTTTTATTACCATGTTAACAGGTATTAATTTCATTGTTAGCATGTTACAAAATATCATATATTATTTGTTAGCACGTTAACAAATAACAAATAATATTGTTAACACGTTAACAAGCATCATATCTTATTGTTATCATGTTAACAAATCTCATATATTATTGTTAACACATTATAAGTATCAAATATTAGTGTTAACATATTAACAAATAGTTATCTATTAAAAGTTAACATCTTATCTAAATGTAAGCTCGTTGTTGTATTATTCTATATCACATGTATAAATAATTGTTATCATGTCAATCATATAAATTTATCGCGATATACTAGTTATCATGTTAAACAAATAGTTAACCCCAATATTTTCAAATTGTATATAATTTTTTGATGATGAACAGTATCTGTTGATAAAAAAAGATGATCAATAGTACCATCAGAAGCTAGCGATGAACAATGTTACCGACATATCTTGTCGGAAAACAAAAATCTCACATAAATGGTATTTGTGTAAATATGTAATAGAAAAAGGATATTTTTGGTTATTTTTTGTTTTCTCTTTCTTATATATTTAATTTTTAGTTATCCATTGTATTTAGTTAAATTTTTAGTTATCCATTGATATTAAATTAAATAACTCAAATTAATAACTCTTTAAATTAATAAAATATAAGAGTCTCAATATTATTAATTTATAGAGTTTTTATTGTAGATGTTTGTTACTATTATGATATGTAGAAAAATCAATAATCTGTGATTAGTATATGTAATATACTAAAAAGATGTTAATGTAAGTATCTTAGATAACCAAATGCTGCTCTATACAATTATATAAAACCACAACAATAAGATATATAGAAAAGCAGTTTAAACATTAGACTCGTGAAATGAAGGGAAACCAAATCCAAGTGCATCGATCTCTGATATTATACATTCTTTTTACCTAGTTGATACTTTTCAAGTGTTTTTAATCCATCTGCAAATTGTTTCAACTCTTTTTATTTGTATATTTTAACTAGTGGATTGCTACGATAGTCAATACCTAATTCGGTATAAATTTATATTTTATTACTTTGTTGACACTTGATAAGATATTCAGAATTGCCCAAACATTTTCAACGTCCAAATTAAATGCACAATTAGAAACTTTCCGTATTTGATGATTTAGGTAAGATCTACTACTACAGATAATTTATAAAATAACATATTATAAAAATAGTCATAGAAATTGATCAATTCCTACAAATTGAGTAATAATTACTGCAATCGCATGTACATGATAAAAGGGACAGAGGCAACAGGTGGACAGGTGTTGGGCTGTCACTAATCATCTTTTTCCGGTGGATAAGCCCAAAAACTCTCCCTCAATCTTTCCCTATCTCTTTCTTTGGATTCGAGTTCAGATCTTATCATATATTTCGGAATAAAAAAACAAAACCATAACATTAATAGTATATTCCACACGAAGGTTTTTCATCATTTCATCATGATAATAAAATATAATAGCTCTTGATAACTTTGCTTGTAAATCGGCAGATAATAACTTTGCGAGTAAATGTTGGTTTATTTATTGCTTTTGAAAAAAAAACATTGATTTTTTTTTGAATTGTTTATAATATTTTACATAATAAAACTTTCACGATAAAATACACTATCTATTATTCTATTTACAGTCACAACGTCTTTCTCTATCTTTTGGTTAAATAAGCTCTTCAAAGTTCAAATTATGCGCTATTTCAGAATTGTTTTCAGCCTAGTAATTTATCTGATGATAGAATTCCAAGAAAACTATAGCAGAAATAAAGTTTTATCATTTGACAAAAAAAATTATTCATAGATGAATTTTTGATTACCGGGATACTTTAAACAATTTTGATATCTGGTTTAATTGGTTTTATTTTGTAGGAAGACATATTTGATTAAACTTGGGAAAAATGATGAACCCATGATAAATTTCATAGATGTGTGTTGGGTGTAGATAAGGTTTTAATATTCAAACCTCAAATCATTGTCGCTGGACACTATCACGTCTTTTCTGTGCCCGAAAAGCCAAACTTACCAGGTCTCTCTCTACTTCCTTTTCTTCTCAGTGTGTGTGGCCTGTCGATATATTTCGAAATTATGGTCCTATATTTTGGTTTACGTACAATTACCGATTTCATTTCACCAATCATAATCACCAATCACGATCACTTCAGGTTATTCGATCGATTGAGAGTGGAATTTATAGTCTTACGGTCCAAATGAGTTCAACGATTGCATTGTACATTATCTATTTTTCGAACAATTTGTAGAGCTTTTTAACCAAAAAAATAAAACAATTTGTAGAGCATGGATGAAAACTATAGTAAAAACGTAACGCTTCTCATTCATCATTATATATATATTTTTTATTCAAATGATGTTACTTACTCATTGTCACAAACATATGTCGAAATGAAGATAACGTCGTCTGCTCACGGTATGGACTAAATAATATGTAGCGTTATGTTGTCAATAATTTGACGGAATTATATATATATATATATATATGTAGCTGAATTAGAATTAAAAAACAGTAATGAATAAGAAAGAATTGAACATCAAATCGAAGCTAACAAAATGAAACTAGGGTTTATGGTTTAGTAAGTTTTCTCTCATACCAAGGAAGAGTCGTCCATTTCCATTAGCTCTGACACGTGGCTAGTGAGAGATGACGACATGGCGATATTTTGTTTATCCTGTTTAATTTTATGGCAAAGTTCATACGCCGTTTTTTTCTGCTGGACTCGACTCACACGAGGATTCAAAGGAATAGATTCGTAAAACGAGATTATATTGGGCCTAGTTTCCCAGTTTTATCGGATCAAGTTTA